GGGGGGCGGGGCGCAGCGGGTGGTGGGGGCTGCGTGTGCCCGGGCGCCCTCCCCTTCCCTCGCTCGCGGGCAGCTCGAGCCGAGGGCCAGGACCGTGGCTGGGCACCTGCCGCCTCGGAGCAGCATCCCCGCGTGGGGAGGCAGAGCCGCTTCAGCAGCCGGCACGGCCCTGGGCACAGCGCCGTGCGAGCAGGGCTTGGCCCTTGCAGAGGCCCCTGTGGTGCCCCAGGCGGGTGGGTGCCTGTCCCCGGGGTGCTGAGGAGGCAGTGCCAGCTTGGAGGCGTCTGGGGTGATGCAGTTGGCCGAGATAGCGGCAGCAAAAGGGCTTGGGCTGCCCCTGCTTCAGAGGGGCCAAGCTGGGTGGCAGGAGGGTCTGAGCGCTTGGAGCTGGATGCTGAAGGGACCTGGCCGTCTTGGGCACCTGTGGGGTGGCCAGTGCTCCTCGGGAGGAGAGGGCGGCCTGTCCATGGTCCTGGGCAGGCCTTGGCTCTTGCCCGTGTGCTTTTGGGCCAAGTCTGAGGAGCCTCTGACGTTGCCTTCTCTCCCCAGTGACCCCGCGGGGCAGACGCGCGTCATGGTGGACTACTACGAAGCGCTGGGTGTGAGCCGGAACGCCAGCGCCGATGACATCAAGAAGGCGTAAGTGAGCGCATCCCAGCTCGGCCCCTCCGGCCCTGCCGCCTGCTCCTGTCGGGAAGGAGCCGCTTGAGCCCCGCTGCGGCAGCGCGGGGCTGCCTCCCAGGCCTGGCAGCGCGGAGAGGGCCCTGCTCCGCACATGACAATCTGCCCTTTGTTGCTGGCTCTTTTTGCAGTCCCGTGCTGCGTGTTCACAGAGGCCAGCGTGGGGATGGGCCTCTCGGCGCTGCTGCTGTCCCACAAAGGCCTCTCTTGGGCGCTTGGTCCCTTTATCCCTGGTCTGTGCTCAGCAGAGGAGCTGGGGGATTGAGCAGAGACCCAGCAGCGCCTTGGGCACAGGTTGGGAGGGAGCGCTGGCTCTCCTGGCCTTGTTGACATTGGAGTGAATCCCCTCTCCCATCCCAGGACATGGGGGTGGAAGAAGGAGGCTCTGCTGCCTGGAGATCCAGTCCTGGTTTGGCAGCTCCTTGGTGCCTTGGCCCTGGCACACAGCTGGGCTCACTCTGCTGGCGGTGGCAGCACAAGCAGGGGTGGCCAGCGGAGGAAAACAATGTGATGAACATGGGGGTTTTGTGCAGTGTCCGAGCAAACGCCCTGGTGGCTTGTGCCTAGGGGAGAAGGGGGATGGAGCAGGGGGCAGAGAGGTCCTGTCTGGAGAGGAGTGTCCTAACAAACTCGGTGCGTGAGAAGCTGGGCAGCCTCAGACATCCCCAGGCAGCTGTAAAGGGAGGAAAGGGCTGTCCCAGGAGACCTGTCTGTACCATGGGGCCTGCGAGGAGGAGCACAAGACCCCCTGGTCCATGCACACACACGTGCAGCAGACACGGGGAGGCTCTGGAGCAAACCTGGGGGCTCTGTCAGAGACCTGCTCCTGTGCGAGAGCCGAGACGGGCACGGCCGGCAACATGGGCTCATGCCACAAATATTTGCTCTGGAGGCAGAACCAGTTTAGGAAGTTCCTGCCTTGCCAACAGCTGGGCCCTGACCCAGATCCCTGACCTGGCTAAAGCAGACAGATAAGCAAAAGTTGTCTTGAAACTGCATGACAGCACCTGGGGGAGCTGGAGACCTTGCGGGTCCCGGGCCTGACCTGGGCAAAAGGCCTGGGCTTCTCCAGCACCTCTGTCGGCAAACGTGCTGCGTGCCTGGGACCCGGCACAGGCGGCGTCCAGCGTGGCCCTGGGGACTCCTGTCAGCCGTGCCTGGGCCATCCGAGCCGGCCGAGCAGCAGGGAGGAAACAGGAGCCGGGTGGCCGGGAGGCCTCGGGCGCCAAGCGGGGGCGGCGGGAGCCGGTGCAAGGCATCTGCAGAGCGAGCTTGCGGCCGCCGCGAGGGACGGTGAGCGCCGAGCGGGATGTGCCGTGCCGTGGGGTGCCCATGCTGCCTGGACTGCAACTGCGGGAGCAGGAGCGGTGGCCGGAGCTGTGCGCCGGAGCCTCCAAGTGAGAGGAGGCCGTGCAGCGAGGTCTGGGGGCGGCGTGGGGCCACCCTGCTGCGGTTCTGTAAGGCAGTTGGGGTCAGCAAGCCCGTTGCTCCGTGTCGGCAGCGTTGCTGGGATGATGCCTGGGAGGCTTTGGCCCTCTCCGGCCTGTGCTTTTGAGAGATGCGGTAAATTGGCAAGAAACAGCAGAAACCAACTGCTGGCTGGGAGGTGCTGGAGGAGCCAGAAATGAGGGGCCCTCTGCCTGTTTGTGGGCTGTGGCCACCACGTTGGGTGCGAGGTGGTGCCGTGCTTGCCTGGGCAGTGCCACAGCTTGGGGGGTCAGTGCAAGCCTCCGTGGTGGGGGGAACAGGCTCAGAGGTGCCCGTGCCTGCCGGAGCCCCTGGCAGGGGCTGGGTGCTGAGTGGGGATCACTGCCTACCCTGGGGTGTCTTCGTCTCCTGTGTGAGGGCTGCTGTGTGCCCGGTGCTGACTGACTGTCTCTCTGTCCTGGCTGTGCAGGTACAGGAAGGCAGCGCTGAAATGGCACCCGGATAAAAACCCTGACAACAAGGAATATGCCGAGCAGAAGTTCAAGGAGATTGCCGAGGCCTACGAAGTGCTCTCGGACAGTAAGAGGCCGTGGTGCTGTCCTGTCTGTCTTGTCCCATCCCCTCCTAGCTCGGACGCCCTGGGGCATCCTGCTGCTGTGTCCAGGCGTCCCTGGACTGTAGCAAGCCTCACGTGTCTGGGATGTCTCCAGCTTTCCTGCCCTGTATTTGGGGCTTGGTCATCTCCCCCCGGCCCTGCAAGAAGGCAGGAGATGCTGAGGTGCTGCATGGCCTCCCAAGGCGTTGTCTTCCCGCTGTGCTGAGCTCAGCCTTGCCCAGTGCCCTCCCTATGGGAGCCAGGCCTCTGGAAATGGCGTTGGAGCAGCGGGTGCTGGTGCTGCCTCTATCCTCGCTGCCCGCTGTTCTCTTCATCCCCTTGCTGCTTCCTGTCCGTGCCCCCAGCTTAGGTAGCCCGTGTGGTGCCTGCCTTTCCCCAGCCTCCGTGTCCTCCTCTTGCAGAGCAGAAGCGTGATGTGTATGACCGTTATGGCAAGGAAGGCCTCATGGGTGCAGGTGAGTGGCTCTGTGGGGGGCTGCAGGGAGTTAATGTGCCTCCAGGTAGGGCACATTACCCTGGGGTGGGTCTGTGTCCCTTGGGCATGTGTAGCTCCCTCTCTTGCCCAGCAGCAACTTGGGATGTTCCCACCCTGGGCGCTGCTGAACTCTGTGCTTCTTCCCTCCTCCAGGGCCAGGAGGCTCCAGGGCCGGCGCTGGGGCTCCGGAATTCACCTTCACGTTCCGCAGCGCTCACGACGTCTTCCGAGAGTTCTTTGGCGGGCGAGACCCCTTTGCCGACTTCTTCGGTGCGTGCGGAGCGGGAGGGAGCGGGTTCTGGGGCGCCACCGCTCCCGGGGCAGC